GTTTATAGTTTCACGACCGTTTAAGGGCGGCGGCAGCATTTACCATGTCAATACTGCTATTGCTTGCGCTGTTCTCCAATCGACGCTCAGTCGCACCTGAGGGCATTGACGTCGAATGGCACGCTACCGAACATTTGTCAGACTCGAAAGCCTACTAACTTCGCCGAAGGTCATTCAACTGCCCCCCCCCCCCCCCATGTATCGACGAACTTGGTAGCCAGCAGTTGGGCTTAGAAGCTGGTCACTTCTTCCCGGGATCCTGTTATTGCGGTGTCATAACCACTTCACAACTGGACCCGCAGACGACCAGAAATGGCGATCTACATCTCAATCGCACAAGAGGCTAAGGGGGGATATCGCGGAAAACTGCGGACATCTGGTGGCTTAGACAATTTCTAGACTATGTGGTTACAGAAAAGCTTCCAATGCACAAGCCATTGCAATTGCTAAAAACCGAGCTAACGCACATCTGAGCATGCGACCTCCAGGCTAAGGGACCGGTGTGGAAATTGACTCAGATGCTCTCAGGAGCCTGCCAACGGTTCAATGCAATGGAAGGCAAGCATTCGGGATCCAGTAAAATTGAAAAGTTGAGTCGACTGATTTAGTGGACGTGGATGACATCACAAGTGGGCGTAAGTCAGTTTATCAGAATCAATTATCCAAAAGCTGTCAAAAACACCTGGTACTCATCAAATGGATTGTAGGTTGGTTGCCTAGGAAATCCCGCCTGGGCAGACAAGTGAATGCATCAAAATCAGTGGAGTCCATACATTACTATAGGCTGACTGGGCGACTTGGCCCAAATGTGATTTAAATAACGGCTTCCGGTGGGGCCTCACAGCACAGGTGGTTAGTGAGTTGACTGTACGCAAGCCTTGCGCTTGCTGTCGTGGGTTCGGAACCCACCGAAGCCGCCGAGTTTTTCGCAAATGGATCGACTGAATTATTCTAAATCTGTCAAAAAATCTACCAGTGCAGTCATCGTCAAGGAATAAAGCAATAGTAACGGAGGTTGTTTGGGAGGTCAAAATCTAACACACACAACGCACGACAATCGGATGCATACACACACCAATACAAGTCTCTCCTATTCTCACAGGTCGCTGCATCATACAGTACCTGTGCTAACTCATGAAATGCCGAGGTCAAAATTATAGTGGACAATGTAGTGTATTTTTGGTGTCGTTATTTGTGTTTATTTGGTTGAAATAAGGACGAAAAGACCGTTTTCTGAAGGAAAGTTTGATACGGATCTGTATATTAAATAGAAAACGGGCCGGATTAAGGCGAAATCGGAGGATTCCTGATATTCAAGCAGTTTCCTACGCTATTAAAGCTTTCGGATGGAAATTCTTTGTGTAACCTTATTAATCTGTTTAAGAAGATTAATAAAAGGACGAAAATATTTTGATAAACTTTCGAACAAAAAGAAAAAATTAAATTTCAATATCAACAAAATCAGGGAAATGCAGATAAATTATTTCTTATTGTGTTCAGGAAATAACGTGCGATTCTTTATCTAAAAATTCTATTTTACAAATTCGTAAAGTTTTATGTTTCAAAATACCGAAATAAAAAAGTTTATCAGTGTGATTGTTTTACCAGACTGAAAATGCGTGTCGTAAACGAATATATATTGAGTTCGCGCAACATGCCGTCACTTTGCTCTGCCACGCCAAACGATAACTATGCCTAAACAATACTTATCCGAAGTTGACTTCCAGCGCATTCGAAAATTAGCGGCGGAAGGAATCCCGCGTGAGTCGTTAGCTAATATTTTCAATATGAGCAAGGTCACTCTGTGGCGCATTATTAATGATAAAACTGTTCCTAGAAATAAGATAGGGGGACCAAAACGGTCCACAAGTAAGCAAGACGACGATTTTATTCGTCGTACATTAAAAAAGTTTCATTACATGCCCATTGAGGCCATTCAGGGGGAACATCTGCCGATGTTTTCTATGACCATCATTAGAAAAAGGATGAAGGAATTTGAACTGCAGCGGCGGAAGGCCATGATTAAGCCATATTTAAGTAGAAAACTAATTAGAGAACGGCTTTTATTTGCTAAGAATTATATTGAATACAGATCTTCATTTTGGAAGAGCATTTTCTTCTGCGATGAGGTTCTATTTTTAGACAAGCCTACGAAGTCGCTCCAAACTGTCATATGTGGAAAGAACTTCCCAAGAGAACATACAACACCGACGGCAACATTCAAGAACTGTCGGCGGATGATGGTTTGGATGGCGATTAAATTCGGTGAGCGGCCGGTCTGGCGATCAACATCCGACACCATCAACAGCAAGGTGTTCATTGCAATTGTCAAGGATGCTTTCGGCTACAACGGCATAAGTCGGCGCCGAATGGATACTGTAATTTTGCAGGACAATGCACCTGTCCACCGCTCTAAAGAGGTACGAATTTGATGCCGCTTGCAAACATAATCTAACAACATAATCAACAACCACGCTCTCCGCAATTGGCCTCCAATCCATTTTCATCCCGGCCAACAGTCCCGACCTTAATCCAATCGAAAATCTTTTTGGAATAGTCAAAAGAAATTGGCACAAAGCTAAGAAGACTCTTTCAATGCAGGAGAAATTGGATTTCATACTCA